TAGTTACTGTATTTCAGCTGATTTCAGTGAGATGCAAAATTGAGGCACCTGATGTAAGCACTTCACTTAACTAATTTCTAAAAGAAGAAATACTGTAAAGCAGATACCACATGGTACAATAGCCTTCCCCAACTTGCTGCCCTCCAGATCGATTGAACTTGCAACCTCTACAATCCCAAACTAGGAAAATGAATTATGAGAATTGTAGTCAACATATTTGGAAAGTGCATTACATCGGGAATGGCTGCTTTTACTATATATAATGTTATTGGTTCATGTATTTAGCCTATGATAGGAGCTAACAACTTAAGTGGAAGTTCATGAATTAGAACTAGGGCTAGGCAATACTTTAGATCTTAAGCACAGTCATGAATTTACTTTTCAACATTAAACAAGACCAAAAAAAGCTCCTTTCCATATAAATAGTTTATTACTAAACATTGACATACATAGTTGAAATAATGGTATATCAGAAATAAGGTATTTGATACATCGATTATCATGTTCATCAGTATTATTCATCTTATTTATAAAGAAAATGAAATAACTACTTGCCCAGGACCTTATGAATGAGTTCAGCACGGACTAAAAACAGGTTTCTTGTATCCTGTTGCCAAATATACTGTATATAGTATATAACCTTCATTTTTCTAATCTAAAGATAACAGTACTTTACACAGAAAAGAAAAAGAGAGTAGACCTCTTACATTCAATTAAAAATGAAAATGAGCCAACTGCAAATGTATGTTATTTATTTATTTAACTGTGATCACGTTTCTGTACTGTTTATTGATGCCATTATTTTAATTGATTGTGCTGGGTCTTATATTTTCATTTTGACTTTCTTGTATCCTATCCAGAATTTGGGGGGAGTGGTCCATTAAATATTGCAAATGTATTTATTTTACAATATTTAATGGACCACTCCCCCCAAATTCTGGATAGGGTACAAGAAAGTCAAAATGAAAATATAAGACCCAGCACAATCAATTAAAATAATGGCATCAGTAAACAGTACAGAAACGTGATCACAGTTGCCCATAAATAAATCAACTGAAGAGCCAAATTGATGCTGGGACAAACTCTTTTGGTTTGTTTGGGAAATGTTGGTAGTGCTGGGAACATCTGTCTCTCTTGGGGAAGACTATTCCACAGAAAGGGAGCTGCTACAGAGAAAGTGGGTGCCAGTCCACATCTCATGTGCCTCACAGAGGAGATTTGCAATAGACCCTCTGTAAAAGACCAGATTTAAGGACAGGCAGATTTAAGTCTGGTAAATACAACCCCATGCAGTGCCTTAAAGCACTTGAATAATGAGCCCCTTTGATTGGATCTAGAAATCTAGCAGCCAATGCAGCATTTTAAAGATAAAGATTATTCTCACATGTCAGGAGTATCTTGTTAGAAGTATGACTGTATGTTTGTGCTAGCTGTAGCTTTTATTGATGATCCAAGTCTTACCCCAGGAGAGCTTATTTCACAATATGAGGACCACCACAGAAAACCCAATTTCTTGGTTGGGAACCCTTAGCATCCTAACTAAAATGAGCAAATACATATTAATTCTACCAGAAAATAAACTACTACCATATTTTAAAAGGGTAGTCTATCTAGAGCTCTCTTTTCTGGAGCAGAATATAAATTCAATGAATGAAAAGATACATGGTTATCAGTTCTGAGTTTCTCATGGGAACGGCAGTTAGAGTTACCAAAGTAAGCTATTTTCCCATCAATAAGTAGATTTTTTCTATGAACAATTGTTCTTAAATTGAAACATTGTAGACAACCTTTTATCATTTTAGGAGGTTGCTCTTCTAAATTATCTCCTCCAGGAAACAAATGTCTATTTAGAGCAGGCAGGTGTATATTTTATGTATGATGTGCTACAGCATACTAAATATAATGATACATTTTCTATAATAATTTAAAATTTCTAACAAATTGATTGGCATAGTGATTCAACAATGTAATCTGCAAAATTATTGTATGTGGGTGTGAGGATTATATACATGGTCATGTATTAGCTTACTGTACTACTATAATTATTATTTGTAACTGCTGATCCAATATTTTAGTTGAGCAAAAGATATTGGATCTATTAACCTTGTATAGAGGCAAGAACTTCTTGAACTTCTATTTAGAATTTGGGGGGGGGATGATATTATGTCATCAGAAATTACAGTGGAGGAATTACAGAAAATGGCTTTGCTTTGCTAAACATATCAAAACAAACATTGACAAAATATACATTCAGAAGATCAATCATCAAATAGCAGGAGCAGGAGCTCACGGGCTTCCTGTCTACTTTTATGGCTGCCTGATAATAGCACAGCCAATCATTCTTCCTATAACATTTAAAGACACAAACATAGATTTTTTATATATTACCTACCCAACCGTAGGATAAATATCCAACATTGCTGATGAAACTTATCTTTTACATGAATCTTGCTTCATTTTAAAATTGTATCCTATTGGAATTACCTATAAAATGCTGCTTGCATTTTTGTTACCATGAGTTACTGTCTCATAAATTAAAGCTCACAATCCTGACTTCTCATAAATTAATTCAAAGTATCTTCTGGGATCAATTATTAATCTTGAATCATCTCTCTGATAAAATATTTAATTACCGTAATTTCTAGATATCAAACAGCTTATGTTCAAAATATATTGTTAACCCCTCCAAATAAAATTTTCTTTCTTTCTTCAAATTTTCTTTCTATGGTTGCTATTGAATTTAATTACCCATTTATACATCCTTTCAGTTGCATATTCATTTTGTATATTTGCAGTTGGACCTTTTATTTTCTTTGCTGGATTTACCAGTAAAAATGGAATAGCATATTTAATCATTGTTTCTGTTTAAACACCGCAATTCTTAATACTTTAGACCTAGAAATAAAATGCCCTAATAACAAGATAAAAGTATGTTTTTGATTAATATCCCTTACAGTTTACAATTTAGTAACATAGAATTTAAATGCTGACATATATAGTACTATTTGATATCCTATTTAGCTCAATTGAATTAAAACTCTAAAATACTATTTCATTTTCCTCTGTGATTAGTAATTTTAGATAGGATATATTAATGGTTGGCCTTTCTGATGTCGTTATTGTCTTCCTATAATTTGTGTTAGGTGTTATAGTAAACAAAGTTTATGATTGTGTGAAATTTTGAGAGAAGCAAATGTAAGAAATGAGAAAGGACATCTGTGGGTTCATTTTTAAGGAAGAAAGATAGAAAAGCAAAGCCTTAGCCTTAGCCTTGTCATAAAGCAATTTCTTTTTTCTTTTTTTAAGTCTAATGCATTTTGATGAGAACTTTTTTCAGAGGCAGAGAAGTGAGGTTTTCTTTCCAAACTATGTCGTCTTATATTGCCTCTGAAAAAGATTCTCTACTGAAGTTTATTTGGCTTCTTAGACTAAGGATTCTCATTATTTCAATAAATACCATTTTCAGGTTTTGCTTACCCCCCCCCCCCCAGGGATTTGTTGTTTTTGTTTCTTCCTTAAATTGCTTTTTTTGCACTTATATAGCCAAGCCGAATAAACTTCTCTTAATATATTTCAAATACATAGAGTCTGAGAGCATATTGCAAGCTGCTAGTTAAAACATATTAAGATTGCAATTTCATGTGTACATATTTAGCATCAAACCAGACTAAGCAATTGAGATTTATTTTTGACAAGGCATGCATAAATTTGCATCATGTTGTTTGCACAGGACAAGGAAATAAAATCATATACAGTAATTAACTGAATCACAACCTACATAGATATGCAGAAATATCAACAATAGCAAAATGAATTAGTGTAGCAAGAGTAAAAAAATAATAACAACAAAGAACAAGGGTCAGGATGCTAATAAAATTCCAGAAAGCTACACATCACCTGCATACTGGAATAAAAGTTATAGTTTTAGCATACTTACATTCAATTGTAAGAAATATTTTTTTAAATCACTATTATATTTACCAAGTTGCACATCATGTAGATTGATGTACTATAACTATAGGCCATTCTTGTTTTTTAAATTTTATTCTGTGGTTATATTGATAGAATGCTAATTTATGGTCACATAATTCTAAATTAAATGTGTTAAAATGATTATCTATTGCTGATATGTAGTGGGCTATTAAATATTTTCATATCACATGTGTAGCTCAACTTTTCTTTAAAGGTATAAAATATTCTTATAAAAGGTTGAAGAATATAATCTCTAGTTGCGCATTACATAGCTGTATGTTTTGTGATATGATTAAGGAATATACAAAACTAATCAGTTCAATAACAATGCCCCATGCCCTAATAGATGAGTGCTATGCATCCCTAATATGTACAAGAAATCCAAAATGGCCTTTAAAAACAGCGACTCCTACATTGACTAGAAATAATAGTAATAATAATAATAAAAAAAAAAACACCCCAAGGAAACAACCCTTCCATTAATCATGGCGGTTAGGATCCTAAAGATTATATTTATTTCCATTTTTTTTTTGGTAGCCAGGTTTTTAGATACATGTTTATATAGAAGAGAGCTAAGGAAGCTATATTATTTCTATCGGCACACACAGTTAAGTGCCATGTCTTCAGAAGCATCAGGCCTTGGATTCCTCCGTTTCTCCTGGTCTTTCTTTTGACACTTTTGCAAGTCAATAGATGTTCTTTTCTTTTTAGCCAAGTAGTCCACCCTCCCTGTCTTAATTTGGTATTGGAAAGGTAGGGTTTAAAGCAGAGGTGGGAAACGATGGCCCCTTTATGATTTGTGGACTTCAGCTCCCAGAATTCCTGAACCAAAATGGCTGGCTCAGGAATTCTGGGAGTTGAAGTCCACAAGTCATAAAGGGGCCATTGTTCCCCATCTCTGAAAGTCTATTTTATTTTAATCATGCAAGAGCAATATGGTTCATATATTAAATCAGTCATAAATAATTCAATTTAAAAGGTTTTTGTATAAAAGATGCTCACAATGTCTTATATCTTGCATGTTTCAGATAGCTGTGGCGCAGAAACTTGTAGTGTGTGGACTATCCTTATTATTTCATATGACTGTTAGCAAAACTTTCCCTGTAGAATACAACATTGATGACCAATTCAGAGCAACAGCATCTTTTCCTACAAAGATTATCTACCTATACCTGTCACTAATGGCTGCCAGGCCGAAGTATTATTTTGCATGGACTTTGGGTAAGAAGTTTGGGGGGAAGGGAAGGGAAGAGTGTTCCTTTTACAAGTTTTATAACAATGCTGAAAGAATATGTTTAATAGAGTGCCCTCTTGTGGGCCAAGGAAGAACTATGTTCAAAGGAATTCTTTTAGAAGCACTAGTTTTTTAATGGCAAGTAAAGTGTTTTATTAGGTGTTTTGAGCTCAGATTTAAACATAAAAATATGATTTGTGAGAGTGTGGTAGCTAAGCAGAATGTCTTAAGAAAGATTGCTCGGGATACACAATATCATTCATTCTTTATTTTGATTGCTTGGGAGCCTTTGATGGAAATGATGATTTTCATCTTAATCCAGGTAATACCCAATTATTAATTGTTAATGAAATATTAAAAGTTGTATTTCTTTTGTTTAAATTTACCCCAAATTGTTTTGATAATCTTAATTCACATTAAGATTAAACAGACTGCAGGAAATTCTTTATATCTGACTTTGAAATCCATTTTTAAAATTTAAATCCAGTTTGTGGAATGGCAAATGAGTCAAAATGAATCATACTTAATTTCCACACTGGTAGTAATAAGGATCCTACTGTTTTACTCAGTTATCTGTATTTTAATTTGATATAAAAACAGAAAATATAGAAATAAATATTTCTTTCTATTTTCTCTTTTTAAAAACCCATTAGTCATATGAATCATATGATTTAACACTTTCAATTATCGTAACTTCTAGGAAAAGAATTCCTTTAATAGTTTTACAATTTATTTTTAATATAAAATATTGCCAACATCCAGACTGTACTGAGTCTAAAATGTATTTTTTCATAATTTATGTTATATATTGTAGAAATAGGGAGAAATTGAGTATTTGGTGTTTAGTAATAACTTCAACAGTAGTTGCAAAATTTACTTTTTAAAAGTTCTTTGTGAAAAGCAATGCTACCATTTATAATATTTTTATAGCTTTCTACAATTCCTTATTTTTCCTTGCAGCAGAGGCAATTAATAATGCAGCTGGATTTGGCTTTAGAGGTTACGATAAAAATGGAGTCCCACACTGGGATTTGATTTCAAATCTACGAATTCTGCATATAGAGGTTAGTTCAAAACTTTCCAAATGGGGATATTATTTACATAATGTGTATAGTACTACTTTGTTGCAATGTGTTACCCTGATGAAATGCGCTTAATATGAGTAAGAATTTCACTATCCTTATTGCAATGATGTACAGGTAGTCCTTGACTTACAACAGTTCATTTAGTGACCGTTCAAATTACAACAGCACTGAAAAAAAGTGATGTGACCATTTTCACAGTTACAACCATTGCAGCATCCCCACGCTCACGTGAACAAAACTCAGATGCTTGCCAACTGACTCATATTTATGACGATTGCAGTATCCTGAGGTCATGTGATCACCTTTTGCGATCTTCTGACAAGCAAAGTCAATGGAGAAGCCAGATTCATTTAACAACCATGTTACTAACTTAACAACTGCAATGATTCACTTAACAACTGTGGCAAGAAAATAGGTCAAAATTCACTTAACAATTATCTCACTTAAATTTTTCAATTATGATCCTAAGTCAATGACTACCTGTACTATTTGCACTCCCATATGGAAGTTTCAATATGTCTCTTAATACAGATGCTAGAAAATCTAAGCAGAAGGATCTTATTGTATTAAAGTTCTGTTACTGATTTCTCATAAGCATCTGGACACTATTAAAATAGAGATAAACTAGTTAGGCCTTTGGTTTGAGCCAATTCAGCTCTTTTACATTCACATTTTAAGCTCAATTGTGATCATAAACCGAGGATTACCTGTATTAAAAAAAAAAGACCAGGAGGTCATTATACCTCCTTGTCATCAACTTTCCTTTCCTTTCCTTTCCTTTCCTTTCCTTTCCTTTCCTTTCCTTTCTCCTCTCCTCTCCTCTCCTCTCCTCTCCTCTCCTCTCCTCTCCTCTCCTCCCTCCCTTGATTTAGGTACTATCCATTCTCCTCACAGAGGTTGTGTACAAATAGAAATAAACAATACAAATAATACTTCTTATTTTTCTACTCCAGTAGAGGAAGTTGACTTTTCTTCCTTTTCTTTTATCTTATGAATAGAATGAGTAACATTTATATATAGAACATCTCTATATGAAGGCATAGTTGCATTAATCTGTTCCAACAAAATTGAAGAGTTTTCTGGCACATTAAAACTGACTACATTTTGCTTTGTTTCCGTTTTAAAAAAAATGTATGGACAATTCTCTGTGGTTTTAAATTTCACTTGCTCAACAAGAATATAAGCAAGCACCATATGTTTACTGAAATTAATGGAGAAAAGAAAATTCTCCCTTTACTATATGTGCACACTGTTATTGTTTTAGTAAGAAACCCCTTCTCTATGACAAGCTGCTTCTAATCTGTTGGAGACAGATGTTTTGATTAATATAAAGACTTCTCAGAAGAATTTATGCTACAGAAGACCTGTATAATCAGGGTTTTCACCAGAATTATATGACTTGAAAATACAGATTTGCCCCTTCCAACGACAGAACCTCATAAAAGCAAAATCTCCTAGAAATCAGGTTATGTACTTCAGTACTTCAGAAGTACACTTTTTAAAATAATGTGTGGTTCATTTTCTTTTTTTCAAAGAAACACTTAAATGCCTTGTGAAGATAGAAGTTATTTACAAATAAAAAATTTAAAAACTAAAACGCCTATAGCCTCTTGAAAATATTTACTTGATTTATTACTCTATAGTATAAACCCACTGACTTACATAAGTACATTCACTTATTAATGGTCAAGATCATGCCCTACCACCAGTCACCTTTTCTAGCCTTTATTTATTGTTTTCTCAGCTGTAATATTTCACCTTTCTACACTAGGCAAGATTTCAGACCTAGCATATTACTTATAATTACAAACTATATTATATAAAGCAGGCCTGGGGGCTGAATCCAGCCTGCAGGGTGCTTAGATCTGCTCTGTTTTCGCTGGCAGAGGGTTGCAGGAGGACATCGCAGCCAAAAACAGAACTTAGGAGTCTGTTTTCTCTGGCAGAGCACTTGGGCCCCCACAGGTGCCCCTGACATGAGTGATGTTGAGCTCGCCATGCCCACCCTGGCCACGCCATGCCCCCACAAGGTCAAACACAACCCTGATGCGGCCCTCAATGAAATCAAGTTTGACACCCCTGATACAGAGTATACAACATACTATTTGAATGTTATTGGAAAGAATGCGATACATGTTTGATTCATAGCCTAATAAAGATATAAAACGTAGCTATGTAGATAGCTATAGAGATAACCTTCTCTATTATTACTGCATCCTCCCTGGAATGTGGAGAGTTGTTAGAAAGAAATAACTAAAAAAAATTATCTGCCGTAATAAATTGGGACAACTTAATTTAAAATGGGAAATGTCCAGTTGCTGAAATTCTTGTTACCATGTCCTTTTCATATTAGTAAATCTTGCTAATGAATACTCTATAAGAATATTGTTTTAAAAAGATGGTTTAAGGTGGCTGCCAAAGACCCTGAAATATTTATTTATTTATTACATTATTATGCTGCCCATCTCACTGGGAAACAGTTTATATTTGCTGAAATAATATAATCTTCTATTCATGTTACAGTTTTCAACAAGTTTCAAGATGTTTCTTGATAACTGGAATATACAGACAGCACTTTGGCTCAAAAGGTACATTGATTGATTGATGTACATTCCATTGTAATAAAAATTACTCTCAGAAATTTATATATTATTCTCTTGCTAATAATTCAGTATTATGAAGCTGCCCCAAAGATTTGTGGATTATCGTGTCGCTAATAATAAAGGTTTAGCCTGACTCTATTCTGTTTGCTTATCCATTGTCCTTTTCCTTTGCTTCAGGAAGACTAATTTCAAAGGCTGGTATATGGTTATAAATCAGAGTTGGAATCTCTAGAAATCCCTCAGAATCTAGGTCCCTTTGGGTCCCAGTTGCTAGAATGAGTGTAACAGTGTGCCATTTTCAAGAAACACATTTTTCCAGATTCCTTGGTTTTGGAAGTTCTGCATTGGAATAATGATTTTAGACCCTAAATGTATAGTAGAACTGTTTTGTTTTCCTTCCAGCATTCTCCAGTTTCTTGTACTCAAGAATCTATTGGTGGTCAAAGAACCTTCCTAACAGTGTGGGGTAGATATATGGATTTGACTGGGGCAACTCTCCTCCCAGCAGTCTCAGCATCTCATTCTATCTTGGTCATCAGGATCGCCTGACTTTCTAGGGTGGCATTTTGGCAGTGCACAAGAGAAAAATGGGGATAAATTCTGAATTTTGCTTATCTAGGATATTATTTAGTCAAGGTGGTATAGTTTACTACTGATTGCTATTCTCTTAGTAGTATATCTACATACTATTATTATTATGAGCTTTAACTGGGCAAAACAGTGCATTATAGGACACCAATTTCTGAACCAAGGCACCTCAGATGGGCCATTTTACAGAATGTGTCCAAAATAGAAGGAGGAAGCTGTGCTGGGTATGTTTGCTACCCTCAGTTTTTATAAAAATAGTAAAGGCAGGATACAAATTGTGTGTATATGTATATATATAATATATATATAAATAAAAAATCTGGGATCAGTGACTCCTGAGAGAATTAAATTTGGGGCAGTTGTGGCTGCTTCGGTGCTGCTCTGTACCTCTTGAGCACTCCCATGCACTGTTCCTACTCCGTGCCCCCCCTCCGTGTTTTCCCAGATCTGTGCAGTACCTAATAAGCAACACCCACCCTCAAGCAGCATGTCTGCATATACCCACACATACTTCCCAAACCACACAGTACCTCTTGCTCACATCACATACCATTCCTGACCCACACTTCTGCACACTCCTTTGCTCCCACCCCACTCCACTTCCTTTTGGCCTTGGACTTGCAAGTTTTTGATAGCCTCCACACTGACTTTCTCCCTGCAAGCTTCCCACAAGCACAGTAAATGGAGAAGGGGGCAGGAATTGGAGGGAGGGAGGGAAGGAGGGAGGAAGATTTCTGAAGCTCCTTGTCAGCTTTTCACAAAGAAACTCAATGGGGAAGCTGGCAGGAAATCAATAGTTGCTTCCACTCCCAATGCTTTTTTGCCCACCCGTGGTCATTCTGTTTCTGTTTAGGTGAGCAAATATTTCTGAAAAGATGACACATTGGGGCATGGATTGTCTAGTTAACTTTAAATATTTCCAATAATTTTTATTTTATGGAAAAATCACTTCTTAAAAGTGATTTTATAACCTGAATAATAACTCAGCTGCTTGGAACTTTCAAGGATTTTTTTAAAAAATGTTATTTCTGGCAGGCCTTGGTATTGCAAAAATGCACTTCTTGCCTTTCTACAAAATGCTTTATCTTTTTTTTTTTTTTTTAACTTTCAGGGTATGCTATGAACGAGCCTCTTTCAGTCCAACAATACAAACTTTTATCTTATCAGCCATTTGGCATGGGGTATATCCTGGATATTATTTAACCTTCTTAACAGGGGTACTAATGACACTTGCAGCACGAACAGTAAGTATCCCTTATATATCAGTTAAAGTGTAGTTGTGCTCTTTTTTTGAATTAGATGTATGAATTAAAAACTTGCCTAGTATTTATTTTTAAAATTTTAGATTAGTTTTTTATAAAAACAATTGTTTTATAATAAAAAGACTTTTGAAAATCATTAAATTGCTTTAAAGTATTACAGGTAGTCCTGGACCTATGACCACAATTGAGTCCAAAATTTCTGTTAAGTGACATATTTTTTAAGTGAATTTGCCCCATTTTACCACCTTTCTTGCTACAGTTGTTAAGTGAATCACTACAGATGATAAGTTAGTAATACAATTGTTAAGTGGATCTGGCTTCCCTATTACTTTGCTTGTCAAAATGTTGCAAAAGATCATAACATGACACAGCGGCAGTCATAAGTATGAGTCAATTGCCAAGCATCTGGATTTTGATCACATGATCATGAGGATGCTACAAAGATCGTAAGTGTGAAAAACAGTTCACAAGTCACTTTTTTCAGGGCTGTTATAACTTTGAATGGTCCCTAAATGAACTGTTGTAAATTGAGGACTATCTGTATTTGATTATTTACAGATTCAATGTATATGGCTGTCACAGATGTAACTGTAGCAGTTAACATCAAGTTAAACAAAGATATCAAACAACACTTTGTGCCTAAAGCTCTTCACACATTTTTCTGATTAATACCTTAATAATGAGTTCATGCCTCAGGGCAAAAAAAAAAAAAAAAAAGATATTTAATATCTTATACATAGACCAGTAAGATTGGGACTATCTGGATTTTGAAGGCTATGCTATTCCGCAGGGCAGGCATAATGCCAGAGAAGAGACTGTTTGCAAATATGATGGTAATAATAAATAAACAATTTCCCAGCCAAATGTCTTACATTTTCAACCAAGTTTCAACTTTTCATAGGTGTTTATTAGTCTGTCTGTTTTATTTTGTTTCTGCATTATTTTATTTAAAAAAAGTCCATCTACAAATGGTAACACTTACTTTAAGCATACTTTAAGAAATTATTTTTCTTAAGTATTAGTTCTCAAACCTCATATTTAAAAGGTATTGTAATTTTTTTTGAGCTGAAAATGCAGCACAGATTTCAGAGAAGTATAAAATCTCAAGATTAGACATGTTTTAATCCTCTTATTGTACAAGAAGGATCTATCAGACCAGTTTTTATTGAAATTTACAAAAGGTGTGTCTCTCAAGTAACCAATTGAGGTAATGTTGTCTATTTTTTTATTTATCTGCCTTTAAATATAGCTTTTTCTAAGATCTATCTAGATATTACCTGTTCTATAAAAATGTTTATTTACTAATTAAACATCTCTTTCTTTAAATTTAGATTAGAAAGAACATTAGAAATTATTTTCTTGATTCTCCAGCCATTAAATTATGTTATGATATCATGACATGGATCACAACTCAAATAGCAATAAGTTACACAGTTGTGCCATTTGTACTTCTCTCTATAAAACCCTCCTACACATTTTACAGGTAAGCTGATCCTTTATCCTTTTTTAAAATGCCACTTTAAATAGAAAGGAAGTTATTTACATGTGCTGACAGTTAAAAAAGCAATACTGTAATCCATTTTTTAATTTCATATGCCTAGAATGTTATGTGATGTTTGGTGCCTGATTGAGATTTAGGAAATTAACACAGAATCAGAGATTTCCTTTAAATAAAATGAATGCACAAACAAAGAAAATGTTTTGTTCATCATGGTAGTGGAAGACACTGGAAAAACAGAAAAAATACTAGAGGAATAAGTACTTTCAAAAAGTTTATAAAGAGTTTCCGGCCAGCAAATTCAGTCCTGTCAACCACATATTTTCCCACTGTTCCATTTGTATATTTTAACCACATTTATTTATTTATTTATTGGATCGATTTATATGCCACCCTTTTCCGGAGACTCAGGGTGGCTTAACAATGCGTTAAGCAATAGCCTTCATACTTTTGTATATACCTGCTTAGTAGGGCTTTCGCCCCCCCCCAAAGCGGTGTTCTTTTTTATACAAAGTCAGTTTATTGCCCCCACAAACCGGGTCCTCATTTTACCTACCTCAAAAGGATGGAAGGCTGAGTCAACCTTGAGCCTGGTGAGATTTGAACTTGCAGTAATTGCAGGCAGCTGGTGTTACTTAACAGTGCTTTAGTCTGCTGCGCCACCAAGGCTCTTATACATGATGGTGTTTCTGGCATTAGAAAATGGCCAGGCTTTCTCAGTATGGGAAAATTGGAAGGGGAGAAGGATAATAAGCTATTTATTTTCTACAATCTGAGATAGCCAAATAATCTCCTATATTCACACTCACACACACACACACACACACACACACACAAACACACACAGGCTGCATTGTACTGCTGGTTTTCTGACAAGTAGATAAATATAGAAGTGTTGAAACATTATCATATAATGATCAAAACTCTTTATTTCTGTCTCTTTGCTTAGTTCCTGGTATTTCTCCCTTCATATTGCCTGCATTTTAGTGCTGATGTTTCCAATGACAAGAACTCAAAAAGGGAATAATGAGCAAGAAAGCATCCAGCCTTCATGGTTCAAACAGCAAGAAGAAGGAAAAGAAAAAAGAATTATGGGACATAATAGTTATTCTGTGGCAAATAGCTTCAATCAAAGAAGAGACATCACATCTAGAAATACAGCAACAAAACAATGATTACAGATGCTATAGATGCTATATTTTATATTTTCAAGACCATTTATAGCACCTTTTAAAAGGGGTTTGTATTTGTCTGAAAAGATGGTTAGAAAAGAATGCTATATCTCTAGGGAATATACCAGTAAGATGAAAGCAAAGCTAATTAACCACACCTATGGATCATGCCTTATATGGAAATATTACAATTATTTCAGTGGGCACTCAGGACCAACAGCATATGTCATCGGCGTGCCCCTATGCTGAATGTACATTGTAAATCCCTAGGCACTATGGGGGTGGGAAACCATTGTGTCAATCTGGAATACCAGAAGGAAAAAATCTTGCATTGCCTTAAACCCTCCATCTACTGAAAAGTAATGTTTCTAAATAGTATTTTCATGTTTAGTATAATATATTTAAAGTATAATTCAAAAATAAGCTTTGGGTTCTGAGGGACAAAACAAGAAATGGAAGCAGAAAACCCCGCTGCCTGAAGTCAAAAGAAGAAGGAACTGCAATAAGCACCTCACTATCTGGTGGGTTTTCGTAGTATATCAGGTTTATACAGTAGAGAATGGAAAGCACTGCTAATGCTAAATTATAGTTGGTTTCTCTGATTAAAAACAGTGGTGAAAGGAAAGCGCTCTGAAAACTTTTTTTAAAAATATGAAAAGTCACCCTTTCTAGAGCCAAATGTTTTAATTTAATTTTGCTCTTTAGGATGAGTAAGCTTTGCAGCAACCTTCACAAAATGTGCACGGAATTCCTATTAAAGCTGCAACTTTCCAATAACAATTCTCCTTCTAATCCTATAGAAATCATTTCACGGGGGGCACTAGTAAAGATGGGTCAGATATAGAATTAGTGTGAAAAGGTGCTTAAGATGGCCACTTATGGTTATAATTCAGTTTATATTAAACAAAAAGTGAAATTGTTAAATTGGTACTGTCTAGTTGAACGCCATAAACTCTGTAACACCAGAGTACCTGAGATTTAGAAGAAAATTAAAGTGGGATGTAATATATGGGGACCATAGTGTAATATTTGATAAAACTTTCCCAACCAATTCTTTTGTTTCATAATTTTACCTTGAAAATATGTCACGGGAATTGATAAATTATTAATTGCTTTCTGTTGAAAATTTACAATTGGTAAAGAAATGATGTGCTAAAGGGCTATAACTTTCATTTGCTTGCTTGTCTATCTGTTAGATTTTTTTTACTGAATGGAAAAGATGTTATCTTTAAAATACACAGAAAATGACTCACGGTAAGAAATGAAAAATGGCATTTTGTTATTATTAAAATAAGCTGATTTTTCATTCCTACTTTGTTTTAAAACCTAAATGTTATATACCACATATCCAAATATTTAATGAACCCACAAAGAGAGAAATAGATCCTGGCTATTGTCAGGAACCCTGGAAAGAAATGATAGACACATTTCAGTAGAAATGTCACATTATCGTAAATTTGATCTTCCAATCTGTCTTTCAATGACAAATAACGAGTAAGCTATATTTCTTGTTTGGGGTGTTCATTCTGTTCTGAAATCTTCCTTCTAGAGAGAACTACAGACAGATGTGTTTTGTGGGAGGAAACAAATGATGTGAGTTAATAATTTCCCTAGCAAATGTAGTGTTCATTTGGAGAGTAGGTAATTGAATATTAAAAAGGGCTTTCATGTTGGTGAAAATAAACATTATCATTAGGAGAAATAGGCTTACTGTATCTCCTGATGTAAACACAAAAACTCTTAGTTTATTGCAGAACATGATGGAGCAACATGCAAATAGGTTTATGATGGTTTTATTTGTGCCAAATTACTTCTTCCTTCCCCCCCTCAAATTCAGATTATATAATGGAAGCTCCAGCTGAATAAATGAAGTCTTCTTTATGCAGAAATCAGCATCATATGAGCATCAGGAAGAAACTATGTTGGGTATATGCAATGAAGCTGGATAATATAGCCTGCAATGATACCTTGCTATAACTACTTTCTATAATGGCTGCACATGGCTGCCCAGTTGTTCACTTAACATTATATTAAAGGTATCTGTGGCTATTCATGATAAAGAGGAAGATATAAATATATTTTGGTGCATTCTCTGCAATGGTATATATCTGTTATCTGTATAAAAAATGTCAACATCAGTAGAGGTAGCTCCTATTTACTGAAGACTAGTTTCCCTATCTATAGCCTTGTTCAATGCTATTTCAAGAAAAGCTATTTCTTAGATACCAGATGAATAGCATCTTTCTCTCTTCCTCTCCCTCCCTCCCTCCCTCCTTCCTTCTCTCTCACACAATTACTCAGTTTCAGAATTTACAAGGAAACTCACTTCCGGTGCATAAAAAAGCAGCTCTTTATTTTACTCGTAGAAATCAGTGGAAACCACTGAAAACTTGAAAAACCTGCTTTGTCCACTTTTTATCTATTCCTATGTGTCTAGTCATGTTTAATCTTTTGGGAATGAATAACAAGTTCCACAGGGATAGTGAAGATGAAGGATCAAGAGTTCTTTTCATTTTCTGGCTTATCTGTTAATAAACGAAAGCAAGGCCAAGCTTGCTGTTGCAATCTAACCTCAAGCCCTGAAAAGGAAACATGAAATCCATCCTGTAGTTTGAAGCTTCCCCTGTCTATCAATTGACTATAATGTTAGTATTTGGATTCATGAAATGTATGAGCTTCGTACTTGTATAATATTTACATTAATAGAATTTGCAAAATATGCTCTGTACTCTTTTAATATTCTCTTATCAGAGTACAAATTCTTTCATCTGGCACAAACAATTGAACTCACTTATTAACTTAATTATTTATAACTTTGTGCATAGTTACATGGAAGCAGATAATTGAATATAATCTGATTAACTTCAGAATAAATAGACAAAAACCCCGTTTTATTTCTTCCTCTGTGATAGAAGATGAACATATTAAATCTTTTTTACGGTCATAGACCAGCAAAACATAGTTAATACTGAATTTAGTTAGAATATATCCAGTCAGTACTAAGGATCTTAAACCAACTAAAGTTGTAACAAGCAAAGTTATGGGATGAAATGATACTAATTTATTTTTGTAGGCTTGAAACCAGGGAGTAGAAGACAAAAAACATTTTTTTTTAGTTTTTAAGTTAATTCCAAATAGAGAGTTCTTTGTAAATGAAGTGAACTTGACATGCCTCACAGTAAGCGCTCTCAGCTCCTGAAGAAAGTGATAAAAAATAAGATTTTGTAAGTTTTGACACCTTTTAGAAATCTGATACTTTTAAGTTCCTTGAAAGGTATTAGTTATTTTCCCAAAATGTATTTATTTTTCATTATTTATTATTTGAGAAGTACGGGTAGTCCTCGACATACAACAGTTCATTTAGTGACTGATCAAAATTATAATGGCACTGAAAAAAGCGATTTATGACTGTTTTTCACACTTATAACAGTTGCAGCATTCCTATGGTCACATGATCAAAATTTGGATGCTTGGCAACTGGTTCATATTTATGATGATTGCAGTGTCCTGGGGTCATGTGCTCCCCTTTTGCAACTTTCTGACAAGCCAAGTCAATGGGGAAACCAGATTCACTTAACTGGATTACTAAGTTAACAACTGCAATTATTCATTTAACAATTGTGGCAAGAAAAGTCGTAAAATGGAGCAAAACTCAATGTCTTGCAAAGCAATATAAATTTTGAGCTCAATTGTGGTCGTAAGTCAAGGACTACCTGTATTTGAGTTTTTATCCTTGCCCACAAAGGAATTTCCAGACTCACATTTTGGAAATTATTATTAGAGCTATGCAAAGCACTAGCACTACAGAACATATTAGTTATTATGGAACACCTTTTGCTGGTGCGTCAGAGGAGCTGTGTCCTTTACAAAGTTCACGGGGCTGCTTTGAAAGTTGTCCCTAGTTGTTTCCAAAGACGGGGGGGGGGGGGGGGGGGGGGGGGGAGAAGAGAGAGACAGACAAAGCTGGGACCCCCAAGGAAGCTATGTGGCTGCTTTAGTACTGTATACAGTACTTCCAACAGAGGTACTTCATTTGCACAAACATGCCTTGAAGTCAGTAGTTTAAATGCTCAAGTATAGCATAAAGTGTTTTACGTAAACTGGGGGCCAACCTATGAAAACCCTCTCTTAGTTCCTTGAGGTTCTACCACCAAATTCTGTGGCATAATGACTGATATTCAGCAGTGCAGTTCTTGAAAATACAGAGCAGAAACAAAAGGACTTTGGGATGCAAATTTCTTCAAACCCCCAAACCCAAAATCACATTATAAAAATGTGCCTATTTTGCAATTAAAAAATTAACAACATGACTTGATATTAGATGGAACTAACATTTTCGCCCCAAAAAGGTCTTCCAGTTAGAAGACTCCAATGCAGAAAAATATCTACCCCTTGATTTTAGAAAAAGATCACTATGGATACTGGTTCACCCAGTGTAGTTCTACTGGGTGAACATTACATTAGAACAACCTGCTGTGTGAAAGGAAAAATTAAATGAGAATTTTGCAAGGCAAAACATTTTATTTTTTTAGCCAAAGTTCAATTATGAAATATGTATCTTCCCACAGTAATTCCTATGTGTCCTGAAAACCTCTGCTAGGAAACCAATCTAAAAGGCCTGGGACGTGGAGTAGTAAGTTCTGGGTGTGCAAATTTTCATAAACCCGGATATTTGTAATAATTGTAATTATTTTTCTATAGTATGTAATTTCCATTCTGGGCCAACTTGAAAATACTGGAAATTTGTATTGCCCTTTGTCTTTAACAGGTTTCGATCTTATTGTCACACCAGTTTTCTACTTCCTTTTTTAAAATATTTTTTTCTTTGGCATTGATTCAAGTTGAGTCCCTGGGATCATTGTCTAGTTCACTATAGCAATTTGATGGGCAGCTCCACTCATGTTGGCTTTTCTGTTTCCATTGCACATACTTGTAAAATTGTCCCTTTATGGCAGAAGTCTCAAACATTGCTTAGAACAGTGCATATCATAATTGCATCCGAACTCATCAGGTTTTGTAACAACCTACATTTGTTTTTCTTTTCAGTTTTGTCCTGCTATATATAATTTCATGTCCTTTTGCTTTTCATGATTATTGATTCTGTCTAGTTTTCTGCTACCTATGATCTTAACATTGGCAAAAAGATACCATTTTTTAAATATACCAGTAGTATATAAAAATACTATTGAAACCAAACCTCAAATATGTTTGCTAGCTCTACAAAAATATTCTACAGGTACTGAATGGAAACCATCAACACCATGGACATAATAGTCACTAAAGTTAATATAAATGTTAATCAGTGCAAAAATATGAATGTGGAATTCAGTACACATTTGGATACAGATTAAAGGGATTTTCCTTAGTTGAATGTGGAAAGAGTTATGTTTTTTGCCCCTCCAGTATCTGCTTTTTAAGAGGAAAATATGCTTCAGAAGTGGATAGTTGCAGTATTTCCTCAAATTGCCTTCCCCATTTCAAAGTATAAAGACCTTATCCATGGATTTCATTTTTTCCAATCTTTCTATATTTTTAAAAAATTGTTATTTTTGAACAGATCCATACAATTAGGTCTTGGTGTATGGTAATTTAAGATACCACTGTGTTAGTTTACACTGTGATGTGATATTTTAATAATTACTTATTTCTAGTTTTGTCTTGGAGATGCTACAATTATGTAGCATACTGCTGTTTTAAAGGTGTTTTTAACTTACCTATAAATGTTTTTCTAATTTGCAAATTTCAAATCTGATTAAACAATAGCAAAAAAAGGTCTTGTTTTCTCTATATCATAATTGTTAATTATTACATTAATTTAAATATAACGCCTTACAAATAAGCTGTAATGTCTCATTGATAAGTCATTAGAAATAGCAATTTAATTTCTATATTGCAGAAATACAGGTGACATTTGCAGCATCCCCATGATCGTGTGATCAAAATTCAGTCATAGGTCGAGGACTATCTCTGTATAATGAATGGTGCCCCCAAAATAAAAAATTTGCAATGTGATTTCCATAAAAATAGTTGTGAAATACAAACTGGTAATTGACAGTTGGGATTTAATAAATAATAAATTAGTCTGGTTCCAACTGAGACACCAAATATATAGTTCTAAATATAATATCCTGATCTATGGATGAAAAAGAATAGATTGTGAAAAAGATTAGCATTTAAGCCTGATGGTGTTTCCATACAAATTGTTCTTTCAAATTTAATGGTCCCTTTCCAGAATAATCCAAATGGGAAGGGGTAATTTTATGTTTGATAATAGTAAATACCAAAGCTGCACAACAGATACTCAAGATGCTT